CCCTAAGCCCCAAGCCCCAAGCCCTCTTCTTTTCAGGATCTGTCTTCGGACCAGAAGTTCATCCTGGAACACTCCGTGCCTGGCTTGCTATAATAACTTAATTTAAGTTCTCTAGCCCTAAACCCCTATACCCTATATACCCTATACATACCCCTATATACCCCTATGTATTATATTGACGTACTTTAAGTTCTCTAACAGCAACCCAGGTGAGAAGTATTTTATTTGGGGATACTATGGTACCCAATATAGAGTAAGATTCTATCCTCCTTTTGGGGTATAGTATTTCATAGAAGGAACATAATCTTATTGGGTTTAACCACCAAAAAAACATTACTCAAAGCCCAAACCCTAAACCCCAAAATTCTTCAACCCTAAATCCCTAAACCCCAAACCCCTAAATCCCTGAATCCCTCCACCAAACAAAACACTACTCAGGTGCGGCTGCTCCAGGGCTTGGTGGACGTGATCTCCTCGTGCGGCTGGCGGCCCGACGATGAAAGAACCCCCCCCCTTCACCCCGCTTATGGGGATGATATAGGATTTAGGGTTAAAGGGTTAGGATTTAGGGTTTAATTTAGGGTTTAGGATTGAGGGTTTGGGGTTTAGTGGTTTAGGGGTTTAGGGGTTTAGGGGTTTAGGGAGTTTATGAAGCTGAAATAGGTTTAGGTTTAAGGTGTAGGGTTTAGGATTATAGAAGCATACACAGAGCTTCATAGGGTTCAGGCTAGGGGCCTCTATTGATGACATGGGAGGTATAGGGGGATAGATAGAAATTTGCAGGGTTTATCTACGGTTTAGGGTTTCTAGCCACCCAAGCAAGCATGGGACCCCAAAGTGGCTCTGCGAAAACTGCTGCTCTTGGAAGTAAGAGTTGGTGGGGTTTCGGGCTAGTTTTGGCCAGGGTGAGGGTTGTAGGATCGTGGCTTAGGATTTGTAGCTCAATGATGCAATGCGGTTTCATATGTTTGGGTTTTGGTGATGCATATACACACATATGTGTATATATATATATATGTAAAAATGTAAATATATATATATATCTCTCTCTCTCTCTCTCAGGAGCTCTGGGTTTCAGGCAGAACTCTACATGCAAGCTTTCAGAAATGTTGGGTCCCTTTTCGGGGTCCCAATAATAAAGAGACTTATAGTATTTGGGGCCCTACAAGTTAGACAACGAATCTTTCACTGTATGGGAGTAGTCGGGTGAGTAAAGGGATGTGGTGGAGCTTTGCAAGAGTCATCTTGATTGCAGAAGGGCGCTTCACGAGGTCATTATAATGTAGACTCGTCATTCATAAGCCCACACCCTTATAGGGATTATAATAGGAATCCGAATACTAAGGCCGCTATTTATAAGTCGCGGGTTTACATTAGATTCAAAGGCTACTGCTGCAGTAGGTTGTTTCAATAGCTCATCAGCCTAGGTATGAACGGTACCATGATAGGCATACTAGGAGTTTGGACTATAGCTCATATTGGGTCATGCAGGTTTGTTTCCATCAGCAGGGTTTCATTGCGTTGCTTTCCTAATTGCCATGGTCTGTAGTACCAGCACTAGTCAGACATGTCGTTTCTTTACTTAAAGCTGTGTGCCAGAATGGCAGCTTTCTAGCTTCTGGGTGCGTTTTGGTGTGTATCTCTGCCCTGAGGGCCGCATGATTGTATAGGTTTGGAGGGTATATAGGGGGACCCTGAACCTCAACTCCTGAGCACCAAGCTAGCTCTAAGCCTTAAACGCACACTAATTTGCAGAAACACGCCAACTTTGAAGATTCCCGGCCAAAGTTCGTGGTCTGGAAGGTATGTGGCGGGACCCTGAAACAAAAATCCCAAGCCCTAAGCCCGAACCCTACCCTCAACTTTCAGATTTCCCTGCAGCCCCACTTTTTGATTGTCTGTACTACTGACAAATGAGGGGTTACTTTCTTCAGCTGTAGAGAATTGGGGTTACAGTTGCAGACAGACACTGCCTGGAGATGCAGCTGACTATGTTTAATATCAACTTTGCCCCAAATTCCTGCAGCTGCGTATGATAATGACGGTCAGCTGAGGACCTCCAGGTAAGCCCTAAATCCAAAAACCCTAAACCCTAAATCCCTAAACACTAAATCCCTAAACACTAAATCCCTAAACCCTGAATCCCTAAACCCTAAATCCCTAAACCCTGAATCCTTAAACCCTAACCCTTAAATCCCTAAAGAAGCGCCAAGCCGAGGCTGACGCCGGCTCTATCGGCGATGGAGCTGTCACAGATGGTGGTGCAGGCCACGCGTTTGCGGTTGCAAAGACGCCTCTCGACCCTAAACCCAAAGGATCCATGTAGCTATAGGGCTATATAGGGTTTATAAGGTATAGGGTTTGAGGCATAGGACCTGCAACCCCAAACCCTAAACCCTATATTATCCTTTATAGTCGCTATTGCTGGGTGGGGNNTTTAGGGCTGAGAGTTTGGGGTTTAAGTGGCATGGCATGGGCTGGGGGCCATAAGGTGTGCCAGATTTTTGGGTTTGGGCCGTCTAGCCCAAACTCCAAAAGTTCAAGGTGTGGGGTTTGTGTTTGATTAAAAATGCATCCCTGTAAAAAGCATCTATCTTCTTGCGCTTCCATAGAAATTCCTGTGGATCCCCTTTACAGTATACCATCTGTATAGAGCCTCTGTGGGTGGACTTCAACAGCAAGAAACCCTAAACTCCAAGCCGTAAGTCCCAAATCCTAAACTTTGATAAGCCCTAAAGTCTAAATCTGTAGCTCTAAGTCATTATCCTGAACCCGAAACCCTCAGGAAAAAAAAAAAACAGGCCACAACTTCGACCTCAAGCCCGCTGATGCAGCTGCCTCACTTCACCCCCGCCATGGTGGACAAGGCAAAGTGTCCCAGCTGCATGAAGCGGGGGTGTGGACTCAGGCTCCTGGGGTTTTAGGGTTTTAGG